TCTATCTATCTATCTATCTATCTATCTATCTATCTATCTATCTATCTATCTATCTATCTATCTATCTATCCCTATCATGTTACATGTGAATGATGCACAGTGAGGAAAAGGATAAAGTGGTTTGAATGTAGTAAATAAATAATATAAATATTCCTGTTAATTCAGATAACAGGTTTCTTAATCCCTTTTTATATCAGATATCATTCTGGGATATTATAATAGAATGAGTTTTGCAGGCAAAGCTTTGTGATGATATTCACGGACTGATATCATTAGAGAAGTTGTAGGTGCTCCATCACTGGAGGTTTTTAAGAGAAGACAGGACTGCCATTTGTCCAGAATGGTACAGGGTCTCCTGCGTGAGCAGGGGTTGGTCTGGAAAACCTCTGAGGACCCTTCCAACTCGGTTACTCTGTTGGAGAATTGAGAACATGTTTTGGTCTATTTTCTTCCCTTCTCTCTTGCACAGTATGTCGATATTGTTTATGTATCTACTGATGGACAATATGTGAGACTGTCAGCATCCAAGATTTCTCTAGTATTTTTGACTTGGCTTGGTCTAGGACGGTCACAACTTCTCGGTTGAAACTCCGTTGAATCTCTCCATTTGCTTCGAAATCAAAGAGTTTTCACCATTGTCTTCTGACTGCTCTTTGGCATTCATGGATGCATTTTTGCTAATCTTCTCCCTCATTCTCCTGCATAGTGGTTATTGCAGTCATTACGCTGGATAAAACCTTAACTGTGGAGATCTGAGTCCGCATTCCTACCTTGTTTCCCCGAAAATAAGACAGGGTCTTATTTTCGTTTGACCCCTGAAATAAGCGCTTGGCCTTATTTTTCGGGAGGTCTTATTATTTTTGAGCTGCAGGAGGTGGCGAGTGTGGTCACCTCATGGCTGCTGCTGTGTTGCAATATTTTCTGGGAGGGCTTATTTGGGGTGGGGGGAGGGTTTATTGTAGCACATGCGCTCAAAAGCCCAATTGGACATTATCCGGGGAGGTCTTATTTTCAGGTAAACTGGGTATAGCTAAAGATGCTGGGTGGGACTGAAAGAAAAACGGCTCCATCCCGACGTATGTTTCTTTCCTTCCATACTTTAGGAAGATCCCTCCTGCCGTGGATAGCCCCATGCCGTCTCCAGCGGCCCATATCAGCAGCCCCTTCCCGTCCTCCGTCCTCCAACCTTTCAGCAACCCCACCTCGTCGTACATTCCATCCGCACCCGTCAGCTCAAGAATCCCTCCTTCTTACGTCATGACTTCCGCCATGTTATCCAACGCCGCGTTGGCAACGCCAACGGACACCAACTCCATCACGTCCCACGCCACCGCCTTCCCGCACGTGGCGGCCAGCCTGAGCATCGTCGACTCCACTTTCAAGATGCCGTCCGCCCTGTCGCCTCTGCCGGCCGTCATCCCTTCCCCGTCTCACAAGCCATCCAAAACGAAAACCAGCAAATCCTCCAAAGTCAGAGACCTGTTGTGTCGCGGCGACGAGCCCTCTAGTAACAAAAAGAGGAAGCTGCCGTCGTCTTCCTCCTCCTCTTCCTCCTCCTCCTCCTCTTCTTCTTCCTCGTTATCGTTGCAGACTTCCTCCCCGGCCTCGTTTTCAGGGGCGCACAGGAAGAACTGCGTCTTGAACTCCAGTTCCACCCTCAACTCTTACCAGGCGACAGCTTCCTACAACAGCCTCTCCGTGCACAACGCAAACAACGGAACAAGCCCCTTCAGTGCCAAATCAGAGCCCTCAGGACGGACTTCGCTCTCCGGTAGCACGGCGGACTCGGTCAAACATATGAGCATCGTCGTGAGCAGTATTGACTCTTCCAGTTTGTCTGTCCCTTCCCTGGTGCACCCTCTGGCGGACCACTCCCTCGCCCCGCACAACGCGGTCTCCTCTCTGCCCCTTTGTTTTGACAAATCGGAAGGGAAAAAACGCAAGAACTCAAGCGCTAGCAGCAAAGCCTGTAAAATCACTAAAATGCCTGGAATGAATAGTGTTCATAAAAAGAGCACGGCCAATCTCATTTCTCCGGTGCCGGATACGCCAAACAACGCCATCTCTCGGCCGGTAAGCCAGCTTTGGTGGGTCTTAAGAGAACAGGGGTGTCGAACTCGATTGCATTGTGGGCTGCATCAGTGGTTGGGTGGGTGGGCATCAAAGGAGGCCGGAGTGGGCGTGGCCAGCTCGACGTCACTCGTGTCAGTGGCGCATGGGGTGGGCAAGTGCTAAGGCAGGACTTCTCTCAGACCCTCCCTCCCTCGTCATAACCCCTTCCTTCCTTCTTTCCTTCCTTTGTTCTCCTTCCCTTCTTTTTCCTTCTCTCTTCCTCCTCCTCCTTCCTTCCCTCCCTTATTTTTTCTTCCTTGATCTCTTCTCATCTTTCCTTCTTTTTCTTTGTCTTTCCTCTTTCCCTTTCTCCTTTCCTGTCCCTTCTTGCATGCTCAAATGCAAAAGGGGAAACGTTTCTCCTTTTGTTTTTAGTTTGTTTTGCTAGTCCTCTGCCAGCGAAAATGGAGCTTGGGGGGGGGGGGAGGCTAACCCTAACTCCCCTGAGGTCTGTTTTCGCTGGCAGAGGAGCCTGGGAGCGCCTCGCACGCCCTCCTGACCCGGGGTGAAATCCAGCAGGTTCTGGCAGGTTCTGGAGAACCGGTAGCGGAAATGTTGAGTAGTTCGGAGAACCAGTAGCAGAAATTTTGAGTAGTTCAGAGAAGCGGTAGCGCAAATTTTGACTAGTTCAGAGAACCGGTAGCGGAAATTTTGACGAGTTCAGAGAACCAGCAAATGTCACCTCTGGCTGGCCCGAGTGGGGTGGGAATGGAGATTTAGCAGTATCCTTCCCCTGCCACGCCCACCAAGCCACACCCATCAAGCCGCACCCACAGAACTGGTAGTAAAAAAAATTGAATTTCACCACTGTCCTGACCTCTGCACCGTAGGCTGGTCCTTTGCCATTTACAGGATGACCCCACAGGCCAGATCTAAGTACCCTGTAGGCAGGATTCGGCCCAGGGGCCTTGAGTTTGACATCCCTGACTTAGAAGAAGTCAGTCTTCTTGAGAAATCTCAAGAATGGGACCCTTGTGAGGTTTTCAGAAATTCCAGAAAAAAATCAGCACGATCTATTTTAGGACTGAAAAATCCTATGACAGCATTTTTCATATCTCAGGACAGGTTGCTGGAAATAAGCCTTCCATTAATGTTTTTTAAGAACAATTAACGTATTTTTCGGAATATAAGACGCACCGGAGTATAAGACGCACCAAGGTTTTGAAGAGGCAAATTAAAAAAAAAAGTTTTTGCACTCTGCAAACTTCTGTTTTTCGCAAAAACGGGCCTGTACCCCCCACCGAAAAGCACGAATAGCCTTTAGGAGGCTTGTAGAGCGCTCCTGGGGGGGCTGCCCCCTCAAAATGAGCAAAATGGCCCGTTTTTTACGAAAATGGGCCCATTTTTTGTCCAAAAAATGCATGCATAGCCTTTAGGAGGCTTATAGAGTAAGGGGCTGGGGGGGGGGGCAAAATTGAGCAAAAAATGGCCCATTTTTCATTCATTGCTGTCCTCCCCAGCCCCCAGGATCACTCTGAAAGCCTTCTAAAGGCTCTGCAAGGCCATTTTGGTGAAGGGGCAGGATTTCCGGAGGCAAAAAATGTTGTATTCGGTGTATAAGACGCACTCAGATTTTCATCCTCTTTTTTGAGGGAAAAAGGCGTATGCGAAAAATACGGTAGTTTTTAAAAAATGAACTGTGTTCCAGTGAAATGCAGCAAGCAGTGAAAATAAGGGTCTCTCTTTTTTTGTCTTATCATTATTATTTGCAGATGATCATAATTATCATTATTATTTGCAGATTGGGAAAAACAGTGGTGTAGCTTTGTCTCAATCCAGCCCTTCAAGTACATCAAATCTAATGCACAACAAACAAGTGAGTTTGTGTTTTTTTAAAAATTATATTTAAATCATACTATGCATCAATTAATTGCTGTATTATTGTCAACAAATGTGGCTCCTCTTAGCAAGTCCATTATTTTTACAGGTAGTCCTCAAGTTACCACAGTTCATTTAGCGACCGTTTGAAGTAACAAGGGCAAGGAAAAAAAGTGACTCAGGACCATTTTTCACACTTACGACCGCTGCCTCTTCCGCATGGTCGCGTGATCGAAATTTAGATGCTTGGCAACTGACTCATATTTGTGACGGTTGCAGTGCCCTGGAGTCACGTGATCCCCATTTACGACCTTTTGACGACGAGGAAAGCTGGATTCCTTTAACACCTTTGTTACTAATTTAACAGCTCTGGTGATTCATGTAACAACTGTGACCACAAAGGTCGTAAAGTGGGATAAAGCTCACTTAACAAATCTCTCCCTTAAAAACAGAAATCTGGGGCTCAATTGTGGTCATAAGTTCTGAACCCGGCTCCCAAACACGACAAAACCTCTGTAGTGAAATCAATGTTTCCTTTATTAGGAGCGCCACCAGCCCCAACAAAAATAATTTATCTCTCCCACCGCAGGCTCACAAGTCTGTCCAACAGGGAGATGAATAATTGTCTGTCACATCTATTCATCTCTGCCCCCTGCCTCTTATCCCCAGAGCTAGGGTGGGGCTTCGCTAGCAGCAGTGGTTCTTCCGTCCCAAGGACCGGCCCATAGATTTCCACTGCTCTCCTCTCCTCTACCACATCTATTCATCTCTGCCTTCTGCCTTTTATCCCCAGAGCTAAGATGGGGCTTCGCTAGCAGCAGTGGCTCTTCTGTCCCAAGGACCGGCCCATAGATTTCCACTGCTCTCCTCTCCTCTACCACATCTATTCATCTCTGCCTTCTGCCTTTTA